GTAGTGCGAGGGCGAGGCAAAGCGATCAAAGAAGACAGAACACGCGAGAGAGCACACCGTTCGAAGATCTCCACATCAATGGCGGTGGGTGGGAAGCGTTGCAATAAGGGCCGATGGTTGCAGCACCTTAACGATTAGCGCCCTAACCGCGCATTTTGTGCGACGGGTGTGGTACGCTTTCTGTAGGGAAGGACACTACAAGTTCCCTCGCGGTATCCTTCCTATTAATTGGGCTAATCCCCTTTCTGATGTTCCACCCAACTGTTTTCTATTCCGATCCGCCTGATCATTTGAAGGCGCGTTGGGATCTTTGATGACTGACGTATTAGCGTTTAGACTTCCAAGAAAATGCCTCCCTTTGCTGCATCAATTTTGTAACTATTAATTCATGTAAACCAGCCCCCACACGTGACATAACCTCGATTTCGGAAGACGAGAAGAAAATCGAGTGCAGACCACACACCATAAGAGACGACGGCAAGAAAAAAGCCGCTTTTCTCTTGGCCGTCGTCTCTTATGGATGTGTGGTCTGCACTCGACTTTCTTCTCGTCTTCCGAAATAGAGTATAATTTATTGCGCAGCCTACACATTTCCCTGAAAGCACCTAAAATAGTGGAGAGCTACGGTCGTTGAAGGCAATCAGCACATAAATTTCAGCTGCAGTAACTGTCACAAATGTATTAGCCAAAGTCAGTTACAGTATTTTTTTCAAAAACACTGAGCTTTTACATATAAAAACCCTACAAGCAGGGTCACCTGGCCGTTCGCACTACTCGAAGGGGGGGGGGGGTCGCAGTTGGTGACTTCAGCAAGGAAGGATCGTATTCGAGGTTGAGCAAGGCTACCATAGTGGAAAGGAAATTACGAAATTAGTGAGAAGTTAGGTAAGAATGGTGGATTTGCCGCTTTATGATATCAATCTATCCCCCCCCCCTCTCGTTGTTTTGGACGAATAGTGGGTGGAGTTGGGTGTATCGAATGGTTTCAGAATCAAATATACTGGAGTGAAGCATTCGGCGGCCACAAACCCATCCCTGGGATACGCCACATGTCCCACTCTTGTTCAAAATCGTAGCGGAATTTGAATGCGAATTGAATAATTACTTGCGGAAGTCAGTCGATGAGCAGATCAGTGTTTCTATCCTCTCCGTATTCGATACCAAAGTAGACTCGAATGGCAATCACGGTTTGCCTAGCTACCTCGCCTTCAAATGACCAGAAATTGTGCAATTGCAGAAATTGACGTGGCATTAACGTGGCATCGATTCAAGAACATCTTTGAGCACACGTGATGTCACCTTTTCATCGAGAATTTAGCCACGTGTGCCAATGCCACGTCAATTTCTGCAATTGCACAATTTCTGGTCATTTGAAGGCGAGGGTAGATTCCATCCTGAGTTTGATCTTCTGACTTTGTGCTATGTGAAAGACGCCACTTCCAAATCATTACCTCCGTTTGTTCTAGGTAATAAACAACGCTTCATCATGTTTAACTAGCACTAATCTAGACATGTTTATTTAAACAGTATGTACACCATATATGGCCAAAATACACGTTTCTGGGAGGTGTAAACTACTAATGCCTACTAAAAACGTACAAGACAAAACATGGAGAGGGATGAGGCCATTAGACAGATTCTAGCGTCAAAAAATACAAACGAATATAGCGTACGACCCGCACTGGGTCAAGAGCGTAAAACAACCTTGGCAAATATCCAGAAAAAAATATAGCACCGAGCGCTTTGTCTTCACTAGCTAACTAATTCAATTAGTAATTATGTATATCTGAATAGCTGAGAGCAAAACTGATGGTACAAAGAACAATAAATAACAGATGTGATCTTCTTTAGCCCTATGTCGCTAAGTAAGAGAAGCATACAAATCTCACTGCTTAAATAGCAATCGTTTAATGACTAGCCTAGCTGGGATTATTCGCCGAACTTCTACTATGATGCATATTGATGAGTTCAGAAAGATATCGCTCGGAAAGTAACAGTAAAAGAGCGTTGAAAAGATGAAATCACAGCGAGTTCATGAGCGAAGAGAGAAAAAAACAAAGTCAATCAATACTCAAATAATTAATCGATATCACCCGAATTTCGAACAAAAGACTCCAGATTTCAATAATAAAACGTGGCAAGAGTGAGTGCTTTAGAGAGGAAATTGTGAGAATTATGACGTATAGTAGAGCAATCAGAGAGATTGGAATGAGCGCATAATAAGATATAGATTAAACAGGTAATGACTAGATAGCATATGGATTAAAAAAACATACACAAGAGTGTTATACATTGCAAGCCGCTGATAGAATTTTGAGATATGCAGTAATTATGGGACGACCTGACAAGATGCTATCGAGAAGACCTGATGTAATCGATGACCGCTTGATAGCAGAACGCGTAGTGCTCCTGAAACAACCCTTATTAAAAACTATCGAACATTTAAATAACCTCTTGTGCGATGCGCCACGTAGCCAACTTCTATCCAGTACTGTGAAGTCATTTGAATGGGTATTTAGGGTTATCCAGTAGAGGGGGGAGGGAGTGGACAGTTTATATCGCCTAAAGCTATTTTTCGCTGCGGAAAGATGCTCCAGGATGGGTCTAAAAGCGGAAACGAAATGGTTTACGCACGCTGAGGATTACCCTCCCCTGCTAAAAATAGAAATTCTGTAGGCGGCAGCAACTTCCGCACCATATGCCCTCCCTTACTGGATGAGACCCCGCATGTGCCTGGTCTCGAAGTTTCTATCAAGCTGGTCCGAACAGATACAAATGGAGCATAAATAAGCTTCGGAGCATGTTTGCTATCCGAAATGTCATGCAGGGTTCACCGGGCACTCTAAACTTAATGTATGGATAGAGGTTGAATAATTGGAAAAAGTCTATCAAGTACAGTCAGTTTCTAATAATTACGTATGACTGTTTAGAGAGATTCGACCTTGCATAGCCTCAAATATTCTAATAGCTCTAAACCTACCAATTTTGAGAAAACGAGCGGTCTTTGGTTTTGGAGACCTTTCACCGTTTGAAAAACGTCTACTCGTTGCTCAGCTTTCAATCGCTCCAGCAGCAGCGATATGCAACAATAGACACCCGTCTCAGAAGATCCATTTCTAAAAAGTTTATATTCAAAAATGAAAAAATATAACAAAGTCGCAATTCTTATAAACCGAAAGAAACCAGGAAAACACCTGCCAAATAAAATACAAACCTGCAGTGCAATACAATAGGCCCTGAATCAGGCAATCCGCTTTGTCGTTCTAAAACTCGGCCAACAAGCGATAGAAGAGGTTCCGAGGACGATGGGACAACACTCGATGACGGCCAAGCGGTGAATGCAAACTGCACCACATTTCGAGTACCGGTATCCTCCTAAAATGGGAATAAAAAAATATTTTTGGCCCAATAACCAAGTGCTAGAGAAACGGCCTTCATCGAAATTAACAGCTTTCGATGCGATGAAGTTACGGAAATGTTCCTGCCAGTCAACCTGAACGCTCACAGTTGTACGGTGCCTCTCGTAGCGCAACAGTTTACCGTGCAACTCACTGGGCCAATACTAAACATAGGAGATAAGTTGGCAATGCAATGAATTGCCTTTAAACCACGTCTTTTGGACTTACCTTCTCAGAAGGACTCCAATCCTCCTCATTCGACAGCATAACTAATGTTGTAACATTTAATTCCGAGATCATTCGCCAGAAATCAAAACACTGGTATTTCTCACTTCACAGGAATCTCTGAGCCAAATAACATATGAGGTAAAAGTACCCTGAATTAGCCACAGTTTACGCCATGGTTATAGTTTACGTTGTGAATCATATAAAGAAATCCTATGAAATTCCTCACCTTAAGCGAGCTCGCGTTTATGTAAGTAGTGTCCGCGTATCCTATTGAAGCGCGTAACACAATACGATTTCGATCATATGGCACGGCCGAATCGAAGCGGTTTTTCATTATGTTATCTTCACTTAGCCGCAAAAGAAATTGGCTGGAATTCCGGCTACGCTTCCATGTTTCTAAAATGGAGAAAGATGGCCTTATAGAGCGCTTTCACATATGCTTTTATGAAGGTAGTTAAAAACAGTTCCCGCAAAATGACCAGTGATAAAGCAGAAGATAAAGGTTAGGAAAATAGTTAGGATCAAAAAATAAAAGGATCAAAAAACTATAATGGGAGATGCTAGCTTTAAAAACAGTAGCAAACCATACTTAACCCGGAACTCCGCTTCCATACCAGTTGCTGGTGCAGCATCAGATCGCACAACCAGTTTGGTAATGCCACTGAATGATGAAGCTCGATCCCTAATCAATACAAGCATCTTTACAGTACATTAAAAACCTGGTCAGCCACTATACCTCATGCCTGGATCAATCAACGTCTGGTAGTGCTCTATGAGCTGTTCGACGTCCATGTCCGTGTGACCGAATAAATGCCATTCTGCCAACGCTTTATAGATAAACACATACTGCTCCTAAAAAATGCCAATTAGGTCTAATCTCGGAGCTCAGGTAAGAATTATGATTCTCCTGAATGAAAGCGAACAACTGCATGAAAACAAGAACGCTATGGGCGCTCACCTGCGACTGGACCATGAGGTTGCGCTGCTTCCTCAGAGCGGATACATAATCAAAAATGTCGACTTTGCCTTCTGCGGCGCATTGATCTAACATGCTATCGATAGCGATGAACGTTCCCGTTCGACCCACACCGGCACTAAAAAACCTCTCCTTCACAAACTTGGAATATATCAACGTAACAAATGCGTACCTGCAATGAATCACAACAGGATATTCCTCAAACTCAGGTAAAGCACGAAGGCGGTGCAGGAATCGCAACAACCCCGTAGAGCATTCTGGTGCTTTGTAATCGTTCCAGTTAGTGAAATGGTATTGTACAATTCGACGAGCTGAATGCAAAGAATGAAGCAAGCTGGCCACAAATTTGACATCAAAATTGCAACAGAATAAACGGATCACTCGAAGCCCTATATAAAGAACAACCAAGAAAAAAGCCTCAGCTGTGAAAGTACAGTTCGAGCAAAAAACAAAAAGACTTCACAAAACAATAATTTCAATTAAATGAAAAAATCAAAGTAAAAAACATACCATTCCCTGTCCCAACGAATGAGGTTTCAGCGTGTCCGTTCAAATGCCGCACAGAAGGAACATTGGCGTATTCGGAACCGGGATTTGAATCAATAGAACCCACATCGGATCTAAAAACATGACAACCATCATGTGCAATGAGATAGGACACAAAGGTGATGTCTCCTACCTAGCCCCAGGTGACATTCGATTGAATCGTTCATTCACCGGTTCAACATCGAAACATCGGACTGCGTAATCCGCAAAGTAGGACGCTTCTCGTGGAGTAATCAGCAAGTCACCATATCTGCATTCGATATGATTTCAGATGCTCGTTATTAATTCTGCTAATGGTAAGCTCAAAAACAGGGTTAGTGTAAAGCTGTACGAGGTATACCTTGTGGGTTGATCATCAGGCCAGTATTTCGTGCACTGTTGTCGATTCTTTTCAAACAAATTGGCGACCATAACAATCAGCCTTGAATCTTGTTCCCAGATCATTCGCCAAAAATCGGCCACGGTTGTATCGAGTGGGGCCTGTGCAGCGATGAACATTTTCCGACCATTCCAACCCTATAATAGCGCCGACTTTGCTTACGTTGAAACTTTGATCAATCAAAACTTTCGTTTTTAAGAGCACTGGCTTGAAAAAAGTTATTAATAGAATATGGATACAAACGAACCCTTATCATGTTAGCGTTGATATAATCCGTGTTTTCGTCATTGTTTAACACTCGCAATTTCACACGAGTCGCATCAAATGCACGTATATCATTATATCTGTAAAGATAACAGTGCACGTTTCAGGAAAAAAAAAAAAACAAGAGAAAACCGCTACAAGTACTACAACTACATTATTATGATTAGTAAATATGTTACGTAAATTATTTATTCTATTATGTATAAGACAACGTTAAAAAACTGGAGTGTGTAGTAGCGACACCTCTTAGCATTAGTCTACATTTTCACGATTCAATTCAACAAATGATAACTGGAGTGAAAACGTAAGACAACAACAAAATAGTTTTGGAAAACGCGCTGATTGAATAGATGATTACTTGAAATCAATTTTCTAAGGACGGTATACTAACGTATCAAAATGGGATAGATTCCCAAGTTTTCATACAATTTGCCCACGAAAAATTGAAACAACCGCATAAACTCCAAGCAAAATGAAGCAAAGTAACACTTTCTAACTTTGTAATGTGATTGCACCAAAATAAATTGAATAAAAATAATCCCCACCCACCCTATTTCTTACAAGCGTTCTCTTTTCGAGCACTAGCAACTGCGTCAAGCTTGTAATGGGGGAGTGCCTAAAAATTTATTACAAATTTTCTCAATTATAATAAAGCAGCTCATTCTTTACCTCATATTCCTGAGCGAAAAGAAAATCCGAGTCCCGGTGCCTCATAAGATATTCCGACGGCAAATCGTCAACAGCTATAGCGTGGTAGGTTGATGGACGAAGAAGTGTTCGTTCAACACCCATAGAAGATTCTTTCGACATCCACAGCCAGTGACACCACTGAGAGACTTCACCACGCCTGAATTATCACTAAAGCGTATGGCGATTCCCATGCCAATCAACTATGCATAGGCATTCAGATCAAAGAATCGTTACTAATAGAAGAAATAATCAAAAAAGGTGAAGACTAGGCCTCGGTGCACGCAGGACTTTCCACTCAGGAAGGGGTGTGACGAATTTGATGCTATCGCTGCCGGTAGTGCGTCACGTACACTGCACAGGAGCACGCACTCAGCTACCCGTCAGACTAACAGTTTACAGTTTAAAATTTCGCACCAGTCGCCTGCTTCTAGCTCTCCCTTCTGATCCTCACCACATACCAGGAAAAAATTCCGCAGCCAAGCTTAGTTGGCTCATGGTCAGCGCGAGGGTTCCCCAGCCTAATACTCCATACTCACATCATTTTTGTGCTGTCTAGACTTACTTGTGTAATACAAACAATCCCATTACTGCAGCCATCGTTAAGAATGCCAAGAGAGGCACAAGCACAGTGAAGAAGGCTCCGATCATGCTCCTTTCTGAAGCATCGTCCATGAAATATCAAATCGAATGACCAATAATGAGCATTGCTACATACCGTCTTCTGGCTCCAGAAAAACCGGTTTGAAGTAACCGCTGAAACCATAGGCTGGGCCACTTAGGTGAAGCTGACGGTATGCACGCGGCCGCATAGGGTCCAAACTGGAAAACGTGACACTTCATATGCACAAAACATGGAGTAAAGCCCAGATGATATCTATCAATGGATTTAAATTCTCACATTCTGCTGTAGTGCGCTCCTCCTTGAACTTCATCCTTGTCATCCTTATCAACCCTCACAATCAGGAAGCCTGTGTACTTTAGTCCCGGTCGCAGAACCACGTCCTCTGCCTTGTATCGACTCAGGTATCTGTAAGAAAGAGGTTTCATCGTCTTCTTGAGTGTTTAATTGTATTCTTAGGTACTCACAACACGCTGCAAGGTTTCATCCCTGTCACGCCACGACCATCCCCGATGACAGTATCCACGGGATATTCGGTATAACTCTCCGCGATGTAAGCGAAGAATCTTTTCTTCTCAGCTGCCAAAGCATTGAGGTTGTTATTGAAGGCCTATAAATAATAAGTAAACGTCATCAAAGCCATTTTCAAAAATCCTAAAGAATTACCTTGGACACCGTATCCATCACAATCTCTTGAGGCGGGGGAAGCGTTTCCAATGACACATTCTTTAGCAGTGGAACAATACCGATATAGTAGCAGCTAAATTTAACGCAATGAGCTTAAGATACTTTTCTCCGGAAATCTGATCTTCACTCCTACAAACTTGCAA